TAAAACAATACACTGACTGTTTGGCTGCTTTGTGTTTATGGAGTGGGGCGGGGGGAGCCACACACACCATGCATCATGACTGTGACAATACTTCTCCGTGTAAACATCAACATCCACTGTCGGAAGTGAGGATTCTTACTGTTATCTATCGATCTACTACAGTAATGTGTGCATTTAGTGCTTGTTGCAGTAGGATTCCTAAGTCTTTATGACTTATGAACCCAGAGAGTGTAACTTCACCCTCATTGTAAACCTGTTTACATTTCGTAGTGTAAGTAACATAAATCAAACTCTTTATACAAAAATCTTTATTTATAACAATAAAACTGTAATTTCACTACAATCACCTCTTTTCAAAAACACAAATACTTCATAATACAGGATTCCTTTATAAAACTTAAGTGTTTGACTGAGATATATCTCCCCCTTGTGGCTCTTAGAAGCATTGCAGCCGCTAAAACAATTGAGTTCAGTGGGTACCAGATAAAAAAAAAGAAAAAAAATGAGCTGGGTTGTGATGAACACTAAACAAATAGTTAGAGGGGAAAACAATAAGTAAGTTCACAGGATTATGAACTATAAACAGCATACTAATTTGTTTTGCATTATTTTGAGTCTTAGTCTTATGCAGTACACCTCATGTTTACAGTCACTGGAGAATTACAGCGACTGGATCTGGGAGTGGGCGTGAAGGAGACTCCTCCACTGGGTTTGTGTAGCTGTAAAACCAGTTAGGGTGGTCGCTGTGAAGCAGCTTAGGCTGATCTGTCAGCGTAGACTGTTTCATAAGATGTTTAATCAGTTATGATGAGCTCGTCGCAACCCCAGTCCTCGTAACTCCCATCGGGAAGGTACCTGCGGATGATGATGGGGATCTTTCTGCTCCTGTTAGTGAGGACAAAAAGACAGAGATACTGTTACAGTCACCTGCTCTTTAAATAATGTCACTCACACATGAAAAAGAGAAATGACAAAAAGTCATCAAAGAAAATTATGGCTTACTTTAGTTCTTTCATAGCTATCTGCAGCGGGTCTGTTTCTCCCTCCAGCTCCACCATAACTGGAGCACACATCCTGTTGGAGACAAGTCAGCAGGTCAACAACATCAGTACAGTGTTAGAGCCTTTTTTCAATGCTCAGTCTACAAACACCATGTTTTCTTCTTTTAGATAATTGAGGGTTAGTATTTAAGGAAGTCTGGATTAATCACTGAGAGGTGGAAGTGCCTTAAGAGGAAGAAAGTCATTTTTGATTGTGCTTTACTTTGTGCCGCAGAGTTTCCTTTCTCTTTTTTAAAAATTAAAATGGTTTGTAGAAGGTAAATGAGAGGCATATACTACAAATGAAGTTCAACATAGCTAGGTTTCCCTGCACTATCTGGCTTGACAAAACCTAAAACCCCAGTCAAAGCTGACAGGTGTCATCACAGAACTGTTTTTGTTAACTCAGGCTCTTTGTGTGCTCACATATAAGAAAGGGGGCGTCTGACACGATGTTTGACTCTCCTTTAGCGCAGAATGGGTCGAGTGAGCATTAGAGACATTTTTAAGTTCTACAGGTAGCATTTACAAAACATCTCACTTCAGCAGAGAATCTATATCACATTTACAGGCTACTGGAAATAAAAATTTTAAAAAAATCAGTAAAAATGTGGCACTTCTGAATGATTTTAAACTAAAACTTTAACCACAACATGTTGCTGACCAGGTTGTGTATTTAGCATAAGTTACTGTGGTGATCTGGCCAGGTCAAAGGAAAGCCATCTTTGTGACACTGAAAACGCTGGCTTTAGCCTCGTCTTACCTTGCTAACCCATTAATCTCACTAAGGTTAAGATCAGAAGGTGCTCACGTGAATCCAACTATCATCTGTAAAACATGAACTCTAATCACAGGTAAACTGATATTTCTGGTGCTAATTAACTTTATATTAACATGACATTAAATGCACCAGCTTCACTCACTTATTCATAGTCCTTACCTTTGCTCCTACAAAAGACAAAGTAACACAATGTACTATACCAGAAAGTAGGGCTGCCACGATTAGTCGACTAGTCACGATTACGTCGACTATCAAAATCGTCG